GCACGAGGCGGGAGTGGGGCGCTGGGCTGGACCGGGTGCCTGGGCAGCCCGCGAGGCCAGGGAAGGCGTGACTTCGGCTTCCGCCACGCGGGGGAATCCCCAGGCCTAGGCTCCGGGGGCTGCGGGCGGGGAAGTCCCAGAGCGCGGGTACAAGAGCGCAGCGTCGCGCCAGCGCGCATAGCCGGCACACCCAGGCGGCGCAGCTCCAGCCATGGCGAGCGGCGGCCTCCAGCTCCTGCTCCTGAGCTGCGGTAGGGCCCGATCACTCGCCCCACGCCCCGCACCCTCCCTCTGCACGGCACCCCAGTCCCAGCCAGCTCACCAAGCTCGTTCTGCTCTCTCTTACAGCCTGCAGCCTTGCGTTCGCGGCGCGGGATGTGAAGGTGATTTGCTCTGAAGAGGTAGACTTACCCTGCACCGCCCCCTGGGACCCTCATGTCTCCTACAGGATCTCCTGGATCAAGGTAAGGGAGCAATGCCTCTGGGTGCTGAGATTTGACTGCTCCTTTAGGGGCATTGGGAAAGGACACCCGGATTGGCAAATAGGAGGTGTTCCTCACCGCTGAACAAGTGCTGTCGAATTCTAGTATGGCTTTCCTGCCCCTTTGGCTCCTCGCCCCAAACCTTTACCATACGCGTCCAGATACAAAGATACATTTTGTCCCAAGTCTCAAAAATTAAAACCAGAAAGCAACTTACACTGTGACCACAGACTTGATTCCAACACATTGATTCCACCGCTGTAGAAATCAGCTCCAAAAGGTTAGCTGTTCAAACCCACCAGCTGCCTCAGATAAAAAGGTAGTTTTGGAATCCCTATGGGATCTCCTCTGTCCTTTAGGGTCAGTATGAGTCATCAGCAATGAGTAGGTTTCCAGGAATCTTTACAGAAATGGCTAATGATTTTGAACTACCAAACTTTTGGTTAGCAGCCAAGCATCTAACCACTGTATTCCCAGGGCTCGTTCACAGTTTGTCCCAGAGAATCTCATTCTTGTCCCTACCTAGAAAAATGGTCTGAGATGAATGTTATTCATAAAGAGGCTCTTACTGGATTAATTCTGGAGGTCACCTGTGGTTGTACTCACCAGGACAGCGAGGAAACATCCTTGGACTCTGGCTTGCTTTGGGTTTTGACTGTGATAGTTGTTGGTAGTAGTTGACCATCAGGCATCGCTTCTCCTTTCTGGAGCCACTTTATCTCCTCTGACACTCCTTGGATCCCATCTGTCTGGTGGTTCTAAGAGTCCAGGGTGAGGATATCAAGTCTGTAGTAGTACCTGAGCGGGAAGCCAGAGAGGTCACACTTCCCACCATAAACAGTGAAGGACTGAGTTGCCCTAATGACACAGAATAGGAGAGGAGTCAGGTCTGTTCTTGTCAGGGCCTCTGTGAGTTGTGCTTGATTCCACCGCACCTAACAAAAACAAGGGCCCGGAATGCCTGGCAGGAAGCTCTGGTGGCTTAGTGCTAGGGAGTTGTGCTGCTAGCAGAAAGACCTCACCTCTGTGGCACCAAGTGGCTCTGTTCTCCTCTCTTGTGATTTTATAGCCTTTGAAACATGCTGTAGAGTCAGCCATAAATTGGTTCTGATGCCACAACACTTGAAAATCTTGTTAATGGAAATATCCTCTGATTCTAAAATTGCCTGGTAGAGTGGACTAGGAGGGATTGTATAACAAGGAAAGAATTTTTTTTGTCTTTTCAAAGAGAAAACTGCACTGAGGGGGAATGGGTGGGCAGGGAGGAAACAATGAATGAATGGAAATCCAAAGTCTTTATAAACTTTCATTGAAATTTCAATAAAAGAATATTTTCAATATATCTGACAAAAAGCATGTAACTACTTAAATCAATAGTAAAAACACTGAATTTTCAATGGGAAAAATGTACAACAATTTTAAAAAAAATGTACAACAACTCTGAGGAGCAGAAATAAAAATTACCAGTAAATATGTGAAAATATTTACTGTCTAGAGCTACAAAAGGGTAACAAGTAAAACACTGGTAATATATTTTCCTAAACGCCACATCAAAGATTATCATATTTATAATATTCAATGCTGATAAGGTTGTTTCAAAGATAAGTATATTTGCAAGCACCTGTTCAAACTGGTATATGGATACATACACGATTATGATTCAATTTGTTGTTGTTATGTTGTTGTTATGTACCATTGAGTCAGAACCAACCCACAGCTGCCTCTGCAGGTTTTCAGAGACAATAAATCACACAGGAAGGGATACATATACATTACGATTATTCTGGGATGGTTTATAGGATTTCTTTCTAATTACAATTTAACTGTTAATCTCAATGCTTTTGATTGTTAAAGAGGAAAACAATGGAAATTACACGTGTGTTTATGGAAAACAATTGTCAATATATATAAAAACCTTGTAAAAAAAGATTACAGTCCTTTTGGCATCCCAGACACCTGTATTAGTGGTATTATTTGTATAGCAGTACCCGTGTTACTGCCAGAGCAGCACTACACAGACAGGCTGTTTCACACTCATACTGTGGCCTTCACTGCTCTCCTAGCTTTGAGTACGTTTGTACCCTTCCACAGAAAGCAGTTTTTTCTCAGCTCACTAGGAAATACATTATGGGACCCTTCATGTGCATTGGGCATTTTATAGTTTAAGGCATCTTGGTGATGTGTGTGTGTGTGCGCGCGCGGGGGTGTGCGGACAGTGGCTGCACCACAGCACTGTGTATTCTCTGCAGGCCTCTAGTGTCTTCCTTATTAATTGCAAAGGGGCTCAATGAATTCTGATTGACACAACATGAAAAAGGGTCAGAGATGGTGTTGCTTGCTGCCTTAAAGCAACATGTTGGATATGAAAATAGGTAGTTGTTATTTCTCCTTGTTTCCTACCTTATTCACTGTGAGTTCTGAGAAAAAGAACCATTCCAAACTATTCTCATAGGAAAAAAAATTTAAGAAAAAATATTTTAAGAACAAGTATGATTTAGATGTATACCATATGTAAGCTATCAGGAAAATGTTCACATATTTATTTCACTCCCCCAGGATTTGAACCTGGAAACCTGATTGCAGGGCCTGAGTTCTTGAGGATCTATCTTGACAGCTCTGTCTTCATTACTGAAGTTAAAGCAAATAAAACTTTCTCTGAACTAGCCAGACAGGGGATTGGTTATCTTAAAGATGAAAGAGAACATGAAACCACTATTCCTTCCAGAGAGTAATTTAAAAAAGAAGCCAATATTAATATCCCCAAGGGAATAATTAAAAAAAGACTCATGAAGCAAGTAGATGAAATTGTACACTGTACAGATCAAACAACTGTCAAGTTAAATCTTCTAGCACAGGGTCATTTGGAGGGGTGCAGTAAACCAGGGCAATTAACCTTTGGCTTTTCCTTGGATGTCGGCTGATGATGTAACTCTGTAATGTATGTCTTGTTTATTGGGCATGGTTCTTGCATGATTTGCTCTGAAAACCTTGGAAAAGTCTGTTATGTAAAAAAAACCCAACAAAACAAAACAGAAAACAGCCTCTTAGTATGCTCCTTTTTATTTTACCTCTAGTATAAAACAAAACCCTTTGTCACTGAATTGATTTTAATCCAGGTTGACCCCTGTGTGTCAGAGCAGAACTATGCAAAATTCTCAATTCTGAATTGTTAGAAGTACAGCTCCAGGTCTTCCTTCCAGTGGAATTTCTGAGTGTATTCAAATCCTCAGCATCTTGGTAAGCAGTCAGTTAACTCTTTGCACCACTCAAAGATTCCTTGTCCATAGTATACCCTCAACAGAATACTCTGTTTTCAAGTCCCTTCTGACTCGAGGTGAGCATCCATCAGGTTTCCAGGTATGGTGACTCAGTGGTAAGAAGTTGTACTGGCAACCCGAAGGCACACGGTTTAAATCCAACAGCTGCTCTGTGGGAGATAGATGGGCATTACCTTCCTGTGTGATTTACTGTCTCTGAAAACCTGCAGAGGCAGCTATGGGTTGGTTCTGACTCAATGGTACATAACAACAACAAATTGAATCTTAATGAGAGGGAGAAAACTCCCTTAACTTTCTCCTGTGGAGTGGCTAGTGGTTTTGACCTACTCACTTTCTCATCAGCAGTCTACCACTTATCCTAGTATGCCACCAGGGCTCCTTTGGCCACACACACACACACACACACACACACACACACACACACACACACACATTATTCTGTGATTATTTTTTTAGAAAGCAAACTGATTGTTTAGTGGTAGGTAGGAGAGCTGTGCTCTGCCAGTACACTAATCACTTACAGTGGAGGTGATATTGTTCTTGCTAACATGGTTTAATGGGTCTCAGTGGATTCTGTAAATATTTATTACTTCCCAACTCAGTAATTACATTTTCACACTGATTATGCTTGTACAACAGAAACAGATCGAGTGTTCTATTGTTAGGGCCAGTGATTGGGGTACTAGAGTTCTTCATTTTACAGAAGATTAAGCATCTTGTCATATTGTCCCTACAACTTTTTGTAAAATGCATGAATAAATGAGAGAGAAAGAGAACGTACTAAGGAGTGGGGATATAGAACTGGTGACCATTGCCAGCCCAGTATATCTCACTATCACAGGCATGACTTTCTAAAGCCTCTTGTCTGTGTATAAGACAGTAGTGGTGGAGTGCTGCATAAGTAACCAGAATATCCTGGAAGGCTTTAACCATCTTGGATTGAATCACATCCTTGTAGTCTTTAGGTCCATCATGATTACAATGAAATTGACTCACAGTTTAAAATCCCATTTACCTCTTGCCCACCAGATACCATAGAACATCCTGCCACTGTCCAGCTGGCACCAGTTTGTTGCTGTTGTTTGCCATTGATGTTTCACTAACTCACCATGACCTTGTGGACAGTAGAGCAAAGCCTTCTACCTCTTCATGTTCCTTAGTGTTCATATGTTTGAGTCACAGTTGTGGCTTTCGTGTCAATCCTTTTTGCTGATGGTCTCCTTGTTTTTACCAGCCTTCTACTGGTTGGCTTAGTGGGTAAGGAGTTGTGTTGCTAATTCAAAGCCAGGTGCTTTGAATCCACCAGCTGCTCCATGGGAGAAAGGTGGGCCGTCATCTTCTGTGTGATTTACTGCCTCTAAAAACCAGCCAGATGGTCAGCTATGAGTTGGTTTTTGCTTGATAGCATAGCATAACAACGACATTTTACTCTGGGGAAATTCTGGTACACAGTCCATAATGAAATGTGCTACTAAATCCAGAGACCTTGCATGTCATGGATTGCAAATCCGCCAATGACTCCATGCAAGAAAGATGGGAGAATCTCCTCCTATTATGACTTACAGTTTTGGAAACTCAATGAAGGGTCTCTCTGAGTTGGAACCATGTCAGTGGAAGTGAGTTTGAGTTTTTTACTTAATCAAACACTGATTTACCTGTTCATCAACACAGTGGAGAAGGGAAATATTAAAAAATATATACTGT